ATGACATGGATTGACTACTTCCACATCGCCCACATAGTACTAAGGGATTCAACTTTAAAACAAATTTCAACTTATCACCTTAGTACTATGTATCTCAACATAGGACATATATCTTCATCATATGTCCCCAACTTTTCAACTTTACAATAATGCAACAATAGAAATCTTACAATAATAGGCAACTTATAACAATACAACCATAGACATCTTACAACAATAGGCAACTTACAGCAACACAACAATAGACATCTTACAGCAATAGGCAACTTACAGCAATATAACAATAGGCAACTTACAACAATACAACAACAAACATCTTATATACCAGCTTGACAACTATCTATTCAACTATACCACTTACAACCTTTAATAATTTTAACAACATGTGAACAACTTAATTCCATCAATTACGCAACATATAAGCTTCATACAGTTCAAAAATGAACTCATATTCAACAAACAACAAATCAACTCATTAAAATCATCAAAAATCCCATTTTTCCCAAAACCTTAAAAATGAGGATTTTCTTTAATTCAACCACTTCTCAAAATCATACATCAATGGAGTTTCCAATTCTCCTGAAATTAAACAACCTACATTCTAGCTTCCCTCGCCTGAAAGTTGGCTCTGAAAAGCCAAGAATTGAGAAGAAGGAGAAGAAGAAGAAATATCCTAGCTCAACTCTTGAACTTTTATCCTCCAAAAGTAAGCTTTCTAGTATGAAATTCAAGGGAAGATAGAAGAATTAGTGACCTAGAGGAGAAGAAGAATTATACAGAGCAATTTGAGAGAGAAACGAGCTCACAGACCTAGAGTCCTGCTCTCTAAAACCTCGCCTCCTCAACTGCACATAGGTCCTATTTATAGAAATTCAGGAGTGGCCAGAATGGACCGTTTCAAATCTGGAATGGCCCGTTCTGAACTCAAACGTCATGTGCAAAATTTACATCCAGAACAACCCGTTCTCAAACCAGAATGGCCCGTTTTGGGGTTGCATTTTTACGCATAACAGCCAATTTGGAACAACTCGTTCTCAACTAGGTTTTTAAGCCAATTTAGTAGTTTAGAACGGCCCGTTTTGGGCTAATAAATTACCCTTATTTTAGTAGTTTAGAATGGCCCGTTCTGGGCTACTAACTACATAACAATACCTCCCAACAAAAAGGAATTTTCATCCCCTAAAATAGGCTTACCTGCAAAGAGGAATGGATACCATTCCTTGAATTGACTCTCCAGTTCCCAGGTCGCCTCGCCAGTAGCTGCATCCCATAGAATCTTCACCAAGCTGATGGACTTGCCACGAAGTTCCTTCAAATTGTGATCAACCACAGCTACTAGTCTTTTCTTATAGGTAAAGTTCTCTCTAACTTGCACCTCATCCATCTCCACTACGTGACTCGGGTCTCTGATGTATTTCCTCAACTGATAAGCCACTGGACCTACACAATGAAGGATCTGGTAAGGACCAATGAATCTCAGTGTGAGCTTCTTGGCCCTTACAACTCTTCCCACTCTAGTAGTGGGTGTCACCCTAAGAAACACGTGCTTTCCTTTCTCAAACTCTAGAGGTCTTAACCTCTCTTGAATCTGCCTCACCATCTCAGTATTCTAAAGAACTAGCTATAGACCAACCACTACTGACTCACCATCCTGAAACCAACACAATGGAGTCCTACATCTCCGACCATATAAAGCCTCAAAAGGCACCATGCCAATACTCGAGTGAAAACTATTGTTGTAGGTAAACTCCACTAATGGTAACACCTCCTCCCAGCTACCCAAATGATCTAACACACAAGCTCTCAGGAGATCCTCTAGTGATTGAATTTTCCTCTCTAACTGACCATCCGTCTATGGATGATAAACAGAGCTCAACCTCAACCTTGTCCCCAACGCCTGATGTAGAGTTTGCCAGAACCTAGAAGTAAACCTCGAATCTCATGCAGTATGGGACTTTTAACAGGAGTTCTTGCTAACTCAGTTTCAAATTAAGGTAAGTTGTAGTTTGTAAAAGTTTTATTTGAATTCCATACATGCTTAGCATATACAAGTGCTCATTTGAAACAACAACACTCGACATCCCCAGAATGAACTATAAAGGATCAGACGAATGCGCACATGTCTCACCGTGGGCGTGTAGTGAGAGTTGTCGTAGAAAAGGCTTTGGGAAAGGAGGCTCATGCGAGATAGTTCATTCTGGGGATGTCGAGTGTTGTTGTTTCAAATGAGCACTTGTATATGCTAAGCATGTATGGAATTCAAATAAAACTTTTACAAACTACAACTTACCTTAATTTGAAACTGAGTTAGCAAGAACTCCTGTTAAAAGTCCCATACTGCATTGGTTAAAAGTTTAGGTGTTGACCAATGTTATAACTTTTAACCACTTATAATGTTTGTTATACAACTTTGGTAATGAAATAACTGACATAATAACTCAGGTTAAAAATTAAGTTGTTTAGGGTTATTAGAGTTGAGATCAAAGTTAACTATGAATATGGAAGACATATAAGGGTTTTTTGAAGATAGGAAATTCATAATCATTTTCACAAAACATAGGCGATGGTTGGTACACTATTTGCTTTTACTTTCTCAAGAATTTGAAGTTGAGAATGTTACCTTCTCACGTTTGACTTATCATCTAAAAAATAACATTCATGGGAAACGTGATTTTTCGAAAATGTGTTTTATACAGGTTTTCCATCAAATTGTTCTTATGGGATAGGTGGTAATCTAACATTCTTGAGTTAAAAAGAATGTTTTACTATAGTAAATATGTTACCTTAATTTTCCTAGTTAATGTAGTCAAAATCTTTGGTTCCCAAAAATATTTATACCCAACCAAACGAATTTAATCATTTCACTAGTGCAGAATGATGCTTTTACGTCACCTAAATGACGTCGGAACCAGGAACTACCGACGTTATAAAAACGCGGTGGCAGAATGGTAAATAATAGGAACTAATTTACGTCGGACAAAGGGGAGTCCGACGTAAATTAGCCCATTAATGTCGGAGCTATCACTATCTGACGTAAATTTACGTCGGACCCCCCATGTTGTCTCTGTTGCTGCTGTTGGATAGGGGGAGGCATATATCTGTTAGGACCAACATTGTTTTGGAAGGGAGGGGATGGCTATTGTTGGTGCTTCTGGTTATACCATCTGAGATTGGGATGATTTCTCCAACCTAGATTGTACCTATTATTGGAGAGGTCATAACTCTGCTGCGGTTGTTGCTGGACAGGAGGTCTATTGTAAATATTTGCAGCATATGCCTTTGGGTGCTCATTTACTCCTGACTACTGCAGAGAAGGGCATACATTTGTGTGATGATCAATTGAAGAACAAAGGCCACAGACCCTTGCTATAGATGTAGATTTTTGATTTGCAGCAAGTTAAGTCATTAGGTTGACCAATGCATCAAGTTTACTCTCCAACTTTTTATCTGCATCAGTGGCCACATCATGAACTCCTCTGATGAAAATTGCATTGTCATTTCTGGTACTAAATTATTGAGAGTTGGAGGCCATCTTTTCTATCAAGTGCCTCGCTTCAGCTGGGGTCATGTCACCAAGTGCTCCATCACTTGCAACATCTATCAAATCTCAGAATCCCATCAGTACCAAGCTCAAAACCAACTGGCATCTCAGTACCAAGCAATCCCAAAATCCTCAACAACTCTAGATCCTGTAATTGCTTAGTTCCCACCTACTTCAAGAACTTATTAGTTATAGTGATCATACCACAACTAATGTGATCTTCAACAACCTCCACCTCTAGTCTCAAATCTCTGAACTATTCAATTAGCTCTAACTCCTTAATCATCATAGCCGACATGTGAGTGGATTTCCTACTCAATGCATTTGCTACTACATTCGCCTTCCCAGGATGATACATTAATTGGAAATTGAAGTCCTTTAGGAATTCCATCCACCTCCTCTGCCTCATATTCAACTCTTTTTGATCAAACAAATACTTCAAACCCTTATGATCACTAAATACACTGAATCTCGCACCATACAGATAGTGCCTCCACGACTTCAAGGCAAACACCATAGCTGCAAGCTCCAAATCATGAGTGGGATAGTTCCTCTCATGGGTTTTATATTGTCTCGAAGCATATGCCACTACTCTCCTTCCCTACATCAACACACAACCCAACCCCTGGTGAGAAGCATCACAAAACACATCAAAAGACTTACTAACGTCAGGTAACACCAAAACTAGAGAAGTAGTCAACCGCTCCTTCAACTCTTGGAAACTCCACTCACAAGCGTTTGTCCAAACAAAAGGCTGGTCCTTCCGAATCAGTTTAGTCAAAGGCATTACTAGTTGAGAGAAACCCTCTATAAATCTCCGATAGTAACCTGCTAACCCAACAAAACTCCTAATCTTTGTAGCAATCCTCGGAAGCTCCCACTAAATCACAGCCTCCACCTTGGCTGGGTCCACTGCAATCCCCTCTATCAATATCACATGCCCCAAAAACCTCACCTCGGACAACCAAAACTCACACTTGGACAACTTGGCATACAACTAACTCTCCGTCAACACCTCCAAAACCAGCCTCAAATGCTCACGATGATCTTCCAAAGATCTAGAATACACCAATATATCATCAATGAAGACCACCACAAATCTGTCTAAGAACGGCCTGAAAATCCTGTTCATGTAATCCATGAACACCGTTGGAGCATTAGTGACACCAAAGGGCATCACTACATACTCATAGTGACCATACCTAGTCCTAAAAGCAGTCTTCGGTATGTCACTCTCCTTCACCCTGATTTGATGATATCCGGATCTCAAATTAATCTTCAAAAACACTAAAGCTCCCCTCAACTGATCCATCAAATCATCAATCCTCGAAAGTGGATACTTATTCTTTATCGTCAACTTATTCAGTTGTCAATAATCAATGCAAAGACAGGTCCCACCATCTTTCTTCTTGACTAAAAATACCGGGGCACCCCAAGGAGAAATACTAGGCCTCACCATCTATTTTTCCAACAATTCCTCAATTTGCTTCTTTAGCTCTACCAACTTAGCTAGAGCCATCCTATAAGGAGCCACTGATACTGTCCCTGCACCTGGCACCAGATCAATGCTAAACTCAACATCTCGCATAGGTGGCAATCCCAATACATCATTTGGGAACACCTCAGGAAACTCATTGACAATCTTAATCCCAGTGATGGCCCTCTCCGTCTCAACACTCAAGGCAGCAAACAACATGAAGCATTCAGCTCCATCTCCCATCAACTGCTCAGCCTGACCTGCTGATAATAACACATCATCCTCCAATTGAGGAAATAACAACTCTCTTCGAGCACAATCTATAAGGATGTGATGGGTAGATAACCAATCCATCCCTAAGATTATGTCGATATCCACCAAAGGCACCACAATCAGGTTCACTCGGAACCTCCTACCAAACATCTCTATCGGGCATCTCACACACATCTCTGACGTCACAACAGAAATTGAAGTTGGAGTAGACACACACAAATCAACATGCAATGTAGATACCAACAAACCCAATCTCTTCACGCAATCAAAAAATATAAAAGAATGTGTGGCACCAGAATCAAAAAGGATAGAAATCTCTGTACCTACAACTCTAGCTTTCCCCTTCACCAAGTCTAGTGAGGTGGAAGCCTCTACTCCTATCAAAGTGAATACTCGCCTTGCTGCCCTAGGTCACTCCACCCTCTAAGCACCTCTAGACTAACCTGCCCCATCTAGGAAATCCTTGGCCAGATGGCCAAACTTGCTACACCTAAAACACCTAGACTGTGTAGAAGTGCAGTCTCTGCTAATATGTGGCCCACCACACCGATAACATCTAACAACCTGAGCGTCACTCGAAGCTCTCTCATCAGATTTCCTTGTGGCAGAACCCCCTTGTTGTTGGGGCCTGTCATAAGGCTTCCTTTGATAACCAGCACCACTACTGGCCCACCAATAGTCTTCGCCGGCTTGCCGACGCTCTCTAGCCGCTCTACAACCTTCGCCTTTTCTACCAAGGCTGGAAACTCTGTGATGGCCATAGGCACCACCACTCTCCTCAAATCATACTTCAAGCCTTCAGCAAACTTCCTACACTTCCATCCTGCTGTAATCTCATAAACTCTATCTCCCGAGCATGCCTGACACTCTCTAGAAAGTACTTCTCAAGGAAGGCCCTCTTGAAGCATACCCAGTCCACAACAACTCCACAATCAATTAGCATCAGACTAGTACCTCTCCACCAATACTCTGCCTCCCCTGTCAACATATACACTGCATAGACGAGCTTCTGCTCCTCTAAACAATGTAGCACTGAGAATATCTTCTCCAACTTGCAAATCTAGTGGTCAGCCACCTTTGAATCTACATCACCTTTGAATTGAGGAGGACTACACTTTCTAAACTCAACCAGATCCCTGTTTGAATGAGATCTAGTAGATCCTGCTACACTAGTTGTAGTTCTCACAGCATCCACCCTAGTAAAATGTGTAGTCTGCTGCTGCATCGCCATGGCCATCATCTCCATGGCCCTGGCTATTTGATCATACTATGGCCTCACAATACTACTACAACAATTCAAACATCCTTTTAGTAACATAATACCACCACAAATCACCAAAGACCAACACGTATCACATATACGACACAACAGAAACCTAGAAGAATCACTCCCCACAAAGTATCCTAAGGACTCGACCAACTATGATACCAAAAAAGTGTAACGACCTGCTGTGGTCCCTACAATTAGTGGAATCGCACTATTCATAGTAAACTAAGATGAATAATAAAATTGGATAACTCATAAATATAAAAATATGAAAAAGAAAAAAATATGAGAATCATTTATTATTTTAAATATAGAGTACTTATACAATTATCCAAATCTAACATCTCCTAGTGTCGGTCAAACATAAAAACTATTATCCAAAATGGTAACTCTGACTCTAGAAACCAAAACAAAATTCTGCTTCTAGCAGCAGACGCAACCAGCAGCTCCAACCTAGCCCTAATCTACTCGCATACACAATATGATCATGGAAGTCCATCCACATGGAAATAGAAGGGTAAGCTAGAGTTCAATAAACAATCATACAAGTATAAGATAATACTATGCTACTCGTTCCTCCAATCATCATCACAACGTAACCATACAATTCAACATAAAAACTCCACTCATTCATACAACTTATAAGCAACTTTAATACAACAACAACAACATACAACTTAAAATTTAATGTGTCGTCACACATATACAACTAGGAGATCTCCAACAACTGAGGTTTAGGGTTTAGGGTTTAGGGTTGAGTAGTCTAGGTGGCACAAACCCTTCAAGGTCCAACATTTGACCTATCTTAACCAGGTCAGGTATAGAACATCATTAGCAACTCTAAAGAGAACTAGGTATAGACAAAAATAGGCGATTTCTCAAGTGTGCCACTTAGACTCAGAGGTCCAGTACTACTGTCAGGGCAGAAGGGTTTGGGTATGAGCCTACCATGGCCTTGGCTAGCATCACCAATTCACATATGGAGTTAGCCCACCCACTGTCCTCCAAGTACCATGCGCCCTCCAGTACCTAGTCAAAGACTACATCTTTAACTAGATACCTTCCTCAAATTGGTCATTCAACCATGGAATGGATTGACTACTTCCACATCGCCCACACAGTACAAAGGGATTCGACTTTAAAACAACTTTCAACTTATCTTCACCATATGTCCCCAACTTTTCAACTTTATAATAATGCGATAATAGGCATCTTATAACAATAGGCAACTTATAACAATACAACAATAGACATCTTACAACAATAGACAACTTACAGCAACACAACAATAGACATCTTACAGCAATAGGCAACTTACAGCAATACAACAATAGGCAACTTACAACAATACAACAATAAACATCTTATATACCAGCTTGACAACTTTCTATTCAACTAGACCACTATACAACTTTAATAATTTTAACAACATGTGAAAAACTTAATTCCATCAATTATACAACATATAAGCTTCATACAGTTAAAAAATGAACTCAGATTCAACAAACAACAAATCGTCATTAAAATCATCAAAAACCTCATTTTTTCCAAAACCCTAAAAATGAGGAATTTCTTTAATTCAACCACTTCTGAAAATCATACATCAATGGAGTTTTCAATTCTCCTAAAATTAAACAACCTACATTCTAGCTTCCCTCACCTGAAAGTTAGCTCTGAAAAGCCAAGAATTGAGAAGAAAGAGAAGAAGAAGAAATATCTAAGCTCGACTCTTCAACTTTAATTCTCCAAAAGTAAGCTTTCTAGTCTGAAATTTAAGGGAAGACAGAAGAATTAGTGACCTAGAGGAGAAGAAGAATTATATAGAGAAAGGTGAGATAGAAACGAGCTCACAAACCTAAAGTTCTTCTCTCTAGAACCTCTCTCTAAAACCTCGCCTCCTCAACTGCACATAGGTCCTATTTATAGAAATTCAGGAGTGCCCAGAATGGCCCGTTTCAAATTCAGAACGGCCCGTTCTGAACTCAAACGTCATGTGTAAAATTTGCATCCAGAACGGCCTGTTCTCAAACTAATGGCCCATTCCGGGGTTGCATTTTTTCCCATAACAGCCAATTTGGAATGACCCATTCTCAACTAGGGTTTTTAAGCCAATTTAGTAGTTTGGAATGGCCCGTTCTAGTTTGGGAATGGCCTGTTCTAGGCTACTAAATTACCCTTATTTTAGTAGTTTGGAACGGCCTGTTCTAGGCTACTAACTACGTTACACTTATTTCTAAAACTTTCTAGCCATAAACATTTGAGATTAGTGTCTTATTTTGTTTTTAATCTTAGATTTTATTTTTGTGATCCAATCTAGAACCATTGGTAAGAGTTTCGATTTGAGTGCTTGCTTAATTGTGTTCCTTAATTATTGCTTGTCTTTCATTGGAACTCTTTCTAGTTTGTGTCATCTAATCTACCAATTGGTGTAGCTTCCTTTAATTTTTCTTTCTGACTTTTTCTAACTTACTCCAACAACTATAAGATGTGTTGAGTTCTTCTTAAAGGTGTGGAAAGCAAAAGAACAAAGGTAGCCTCTTGGAATGTTTGTGGAGACTTAGGAGGTTGTTCTTCTCTTTGGAGGAAAGCTCTTGGTGGGAGACTAAACACCTAGGAGCAATCAACATCAAGATTGATTCTAAGAGACGAGTGACACACTTGTGAGGTGGCTTCAAGGAGTGGTGGCTAAAATTGGAATTGAAGGAGTAAAGAAAATTTTTAGAAAAAAAAAATTTGTGAAGGGGAACTAAAGACCAAATTAGAGACTAAATTTTTGTTGTCACAAATTTTCCTCACCAAATCCGTCTCTAATCTTATTTCTAATTTAGTGGCTGATTTTTGTTTTCTAATTTTGTACAGCCACTACATTTCATTTGTTGAAAATTTACATTTCATTTGTTGTAAATTTGCATTTCATTACATGTGAATTTTCCTTTCATTTGTACAAGGCCTTTAGGAGTGTCTTGGAGTGCCTTTAGTGCATTTCCATCTCTCCTTAGAGTTTTCAACTAGGTAGCTACATTTAGTTCTTGTAAGAGTGGTCCTTGGAAGTCCTTGGTACTTTCCAAGCTCTCACATAGGTTTACTAGTTTTAAAACACATAGTTCATGTTTTCTTGTCTTTAAGTTTTCAAGAAATTTATGTTTTCATGCCATTTATGTTTTCAAGGAATTTATGATTTCAAGTCTTGACTAATTGTACACATTAGGCACTTTCTTTTTATTTTCCTTTTTTTTTAAAGAACTTTGTGAAAACATTTTGTGCAAGGCAAAGTACAAGGGGGTTTATATATTTTTACTTGAAGAGGCTTGGTTATTAAGTGGCTCTTGGTAGCTCTCCTCCCTCCATAGTTCAATTTGTACTCTTAGATCTCTAAGTGCCAAGTCTAACACTACAAAATATTTATAAAAAAAATTATTTTTGTGTGAAAATATCTCTTATTTAAAAATGTCTCAAAACTCCGTGACTATAGTGGAAGTGATAGCTCTCCAAAAAGCATTTCCCACTTAACTAAAGAGCTTAAATCTCTTAAACTATGGAGAAAGCAACAGAAGCAAAAGACCTTTCAAAAAGAGAAGGATAAAATTGAAAGAGTGGCCAAACTTGCTATCTTAGAAGAGAAGTTGAGAATTCTTAAACAAGAAGAAGAAAATTGAAAGAATACATGAGAAAACACAAAAGAAGAAGACAAATGAAAATCAAAAGAAAAGAAGAAATAGAAAAAAAGAAAAAACTTTGTGTAGAGAAGAGTAAAGAGGAAGAAATATCCTCTAAAGGATTTGTGACTAAAGAAAATTCTTTTAGTACTAAAAATCCTATGAAAAAATTCTCTTTATTCATAAAGATCTTAACTCTTGCCCTCATTCTGCCACTAGTCTTAAAGAGGAGATTCATAAATTCATTATTTTTAAAGAAAAAGAGTCTCAACTTCAAGATTTAGAGAAGAAGAGGTAGACTTCACTTAGTTCTACTTCTTGTGCTACTTCCTAGGTGGTGCCCGAGATAGATAGCCCTCCTTTGTGTAGGACTCTTCCTACCTTAGTGATTTTAATAAAGCACCCAATTCTTGGAATATATTATTTGTTGGATACAACATATGAACCTTCAAGGTTCCTTGTGACAAATCCTTTTCATAACTATCCAACAAATAATATAATTCAAAATTGCTTAGGAAATTTTATAGTAGTATTTTCCTTGTTTTCTAGGAAATGCCTAGGTTACCACATTGGGTACTTTAGGCAAGATGTTCTAGTTGTTAGGTTTAATTCTTTAAAGTGTTATAGTCTTAGTTTTAGTACTTTCTTAGGGTTTAATAATATACCTAGACTATGTTTAGTAGAGGATCCTATTCATTATGTTAGAAGGTCTAGTGTCATTAATTTCTTTATTAGGTCCTATGAAAGGATTCCTCTTAGGATATTCCTTTCAAATTTATTGCTTCACAATATCACCTCTTATGACTGGTATTATATATTTGTAGGTGTGGATGACCAT